TATATATATATATATATATATATATTAATTGGCCTTATTGTAATATGAGATAATATCTTTAGAATCTTCTTAATTAGAGGAAATAGATACATAATCTTTTATTTTATTTTATTTTCCTAGATTTTCTACTTTCCCTATTTCCCTTTTTAGGAGAATCAGATTATTACAAACAGAGGGTATGAGAATGTATTTTTCATGATTGAGAATAATAAATCAGTTTTATTTTCCACATGGTATCAGAGCTTGTCTGATCCGCTTCTGCTGTCTTTGTTGTCTGTCGCCATGGCCGCCGGCGGCCCCCTAAAAGTCTCTTCTTTTAACATATGTTTTTAATGGGCTCCAATTGCCCTAGTCAAGTTCTGCTTAGAATTCTAGCCTTTCTCCAATATTACCAAATACATTTGTTTTTTTTATAACAGTTACACACAATTGTGTTGTACTTCCAGTTAAAATCTGACCTAGCTATAACCTATACTTCCAGATTTTAATCTGACCTAACTATAAGTTATACTTCAAGAATTCAATCTGACCTAGCTATAAGCTATACTTCCAGAGTTCAATCTGACCTAGCTATAAGATATACTTCCATAGAGTTGAATTTGACCTAGCTATATGCTATACTTCCAGAATTTATCTCAGAATGGGTATTTTAAGTAATGCCCAATCTTTTTCGGCATTCTCATTGGCTGTCTATCAAAGACCGAAAGTATCTTCTTCAGGGAACCACTGTTCTAATGCCCAATCTTCTTCAAGGTATTTCACTGAGAGTTGTTCTAATGCCTTATTGTAACAGCTTACTAAGAGTTGTTCTATGAGACCGCCGACTGATTTGGCTCGTTCGATGTTAGGGGTTTCAGATTTGTCCTCATCTGGGCGAGATTTTCTTTCGGTTAGGCGAAAATAATAGGATTTCACCCTATTCTCAACTTCTTGCAACAAATTTGGAACATTTCAACAATTTGTGGTGGTGGAGATGTTGGGTTTCATTTGCAATTTGTGGTCTCTAACTTTTTGATTTGTAGGTTCGAACTCACAATGGGGCTTCATATGGAAGATGTAACTTTTAGGAACACAGTTGAGGATGAGTTCAGCTTATCACCCTCAGACTGATGGTCAAACAGAAAGAACTATTCAGTCTTTGGAGGATTTGCTAAGAACTTGTGTATTAGATCATCTCGGA